GCCTTGACCAGATTCGCGAATATCTCGCCCCGTTTTCTTCAGGAGTGTCGCCCGTCGCTAGCTGACGGGAAGTCGCGTGCTCCGGAACATCTCGGAATGTCGGCTGTCAGCCTAATCGTGCGGGATCGCAACGTGTTGATTCATCACACGCGCACTTTTATCGGAATGTATAGTCTCTGACCAATGTCGTATCCTCGGAGTTTAGGCACAAACGACAGCTACAATTTCTCATCGGTCACGCTGTCTCCAGTCGCGTTTCCAGCTCGACAAGGATGTCGATCACGGATACATTGTTGTTGAATAATAATTCCGAGATCGAAGGTCGCGAGTGTGCGGAACGTTCACGCAACGGAAGATAATGATTTTGTAAACCTCGTCTATACTTGAAGTTAGTCTCGCTTTTATAAAGCTACACTTTCACCCGAAACGGGCCGTGTTTCGATAACGCGCGAGATCAACAGCCCGTGTCCTCGCGAAAGTAACGACCTCCGTAACAAGCGCACGACACTGCGACAAGATTATCGTGCCCACGCGTATGTACCATACGAATTACACGAAGCGCAAACGGGAATCCACACGACGTACCCTCCCTGCGTGATCGTTGTGGACTAAAGAACTGTGAAGAACCTGACCGACGGACCCTACACGAGCGCTTCACCCACCCCACGCCTCCTCCCCTCCCCCCCCTTCCTCTCCCACTGCGCGAGTACTAACAGCTGATTTGGAAAACACCGAGGCCCCCTCTTCAGGGACGGCTCTAGCGCAACGTTGCGCCCCGAGGTTACATAACGCGACTCTTGGACGTTGATCATGCAGAAAGGAATCTTCTCTTTGAATACAATCAAAATTAATGTAACGATCATCGCAGTCGTATAATAAAAAAAAAAAAACTATATCAAGGTACGTGTTGTGAAATGGATTCTAATCGAAATAATTCCATTTTTTCTAGAAAATAAGTACAATAAAAATCTAGGAAATAATTGAACAATTCCGATCGCAATCCATTTCGAACAGGATCTTATTCGTGAAAAAAGATTGCGTATGAAAATACTAGGGAAATCTATAATATACGTAACATTTATTATATTTTCGTTAATTTTCGTATACAATATTTTTGAAGAATAAGGCCCCAGTTCCATAATTAAATTACTAATTTTAAAAAATATCACATTATGAACGGAATTCAGGCGTTTCTCATAGAGCAGATAACTCTCTGCTCCCTGTGCACTGCGCATTGATTGCGCATTGACTGCAATATCGTAATTTACAATCGTGTAATTTATTTAAAGCTGATCGAAAAACACACCGCCATATCGAGTACACTGTAAAAAAGCGGTATGTAAAAATCGCAAGAACAACATATATTCCATTAAAAATCGTGTAATTTTAACATTTTTCGCATAATTTTACGTATCGTTTTCACAGGGTATAATTGTTACAGTAAAATATGAAAATTCGAATATTTAGCCAATATTTATTCGATATCATTAGTTAACTGGATATAGCGAATGTAATTATAGGGAAATATTACAAAAAGATCCATCATCGTATAAATGATATTTGACAACAGTTCCTTTGTTTGTTCAGTTGGATTGACAGATAATTTCGAGAAGATTCAAAATCGCATGATATTTTTCAAAAGATAATAGATTTTTTCACTAATCCTTTTAAAATAATTTTATTAAATTAGTAAAGTAAAACATTGAACAATGTTTTAAACAAAAAATTTAAAAAATTTCTAAATAAGAATTTTATTTTCTTAAACGATGGAATTTTTTTAAATAATAATTTTTTTATTTGATTAACCATAAAAATAAAACTCAAAAGTTTTAAGACGTAATTGTATGTGTTTTGAAAGATATCGATGCGTCGAGAAGTATACAGAATTTTGTCTTTAAACACACTTTATCAAGCAGATGTTGACTCGTGATGTATACATGAAAGTTGTCGAACGAAAACTGTAGGAATATTTTAAATAAATTTGATGGTTATGATAAATTTATGATGGATTTGCGGATATATAAACTTTTGAAATACCTGAAACAAGTAATTGATATTTAAATACAGTATATATTTTTCTGTATATAGTTGCAGATTTTTTGCCGGAGTTTCGCGCTTCGTTGCGATTCTCTTTCAAAAATTTACCAATTGAAACGATCAAATTTAAACGTTTACAGAAAATTCAAAATATAATAGAAGAGAGAAATGTGAGCATTTTATGAATTATTAACGTTTAATAGCATGACAAAACATAATAGTACAATAAAAGATGTATAATATATTAAATTTTCCTGGAGAAAATATGTATAATAGATTTTAAAATTAAAAAAAAAAAACTTTCTCGAATAAAAAAGAATCATAATTTTCCAATGATATTAAAATGAGGTGTAAAATTTATAAGAAATATTCAATATTGCAGTTTAATATTACGTATTTATGGAGACACAGAACTATTCAATTCATCGCTTACAATCGTATAAATTTACAAGCCGATAATGCGCTTCGCTTCAGTGTTCAAGCATACGGGATTAAAGTTCAGAAAATCATCATCGTGCTCGAACTGGTTTACCTTTGATCTTTCGTAAATATTTCATAGGGCTTCAGTGGTATAGTATGTTAGTATGGAATTTCCCTTTTAGTGCACTGAAAAGAGTCTGGCTACACTAATTGAAATTCTGGCTGGAAAAATCAGCATTTGTTTCGCGTAATTACGGTGAACTGCTACCTGCAATCAACGCTAACACAAGTCTTCTTTCTATAAAATTAAAAAATACATATATTTAAAATTATTTATATTTGTCAAGAATTTCGTAATTATTATGCGTAAGTATTTTGCGTTTAAATATTTTTTATTTCAGTGACAGTAAGTGTAACGAGAGATTATTTGTAATTAATTATATAAATGATGAATCGGAAATAAAATTCGTCATCTCGCCAACTTACCAATTGACAGTTTCGCTGGCAAAAAGTCGCAATTTAACGACGATGTTCGCGGTGGATTGGATAATATTCATGCAGGTTTGTCTTCGGGAAGCCAACATCGATGGAACCGGCTCCAGAGATATCGTTTATCGAAAACCCGACATCGAAGACGACCGGCTTCACGCATTTTTTCATTCTCAGCGAGAACAGGATTCGCGGGTGTGTTCGTAACCAAGGCGACTTAATCGTGTTCCGCGTGATAACAGCAACTATGGTCGACATTTGGTCATTTGTAATTTTCCGTGAAGAAAAATAATAAATAGGATTCTTCTGCGATCTAAAAATTCGTATAAATACCAAAAGTAACAATAGATCAAAATATAGATCACGGAAAATTAAGTATAAAAATGATATGTAATAAACAATTATATATCAGAAAATTATAACTAATAACGTTATCTTTCGAATAATATTATTATACCCTAAAAGAACGATTTTGATCATATATATAAAAATTTTAGTTAAATACGGATCTGAAAATAATATTGAATTCTTAAAATAATTAGCAATTTTCTCAAACACGAGCAAAAGACTGCAAAAAGTTTCGACATTCTAGCAACCAGATTGTGCGTTCTACATAATTATTTTAATAGTCCAACAAAATTATTTTCAAATGTGTATCTAGCTATGTAAATTAGATACTTCTGTAAAATCGTCTCTTCCATGTATTAATATTATGCTGAAATGAACAAAATGATCTTCCAAACATGAATATGCTTAATTATCATTAATACAAATATTGTACGCAAAACGTACATAAAATTGTTGAAGAATTAGACGAGATACACAGAAAAAACGGTATTATTAACGGTATCTAAAAATTTAGCTAGATACAAATTTAAAAATAATTTTGCCGAACTATCAAAATAATTATATAGGACACTCAAACTGATTGCCAGAATATCTTTTTGCAGCATTATTCATCATATTTTGACGGCCTACAACGACTTATTTTAATGGTCCAATAAAATTATTTTTAAATTTGTATGTAGCTAATTTTAGATTTGTATGTAGCTATTTTTTAATTTTAGCAAAACTATTTTTTTCATATAGATTTCGAAAGACATTCGTGAATAACTTTCACGATGAATCGTTAAATAATTTCTTAAAGTAAACAAATTAAAATTAAAAATAATCGAATAAACTTTGAAATATATTTCATCCACTGCATTCTACCATCAGCTTATTTTCTTAGCTTTGATTAACTGTTTACCGTCTTTCAATTTCCAAATATAGAGTTAGGAGATTCCTAGAAGTAACGAATGACTGAATCATTTCGTGACTTTGCAGTTTCCTTCATCTCTTTGTATGGCTTGTTCGCAAAAACTTATAATTGTTGTTCGTAATTGTTGAATAATTGTGAATAATAACGACCGTATGATACTCAAGTAACATTTAAAATTAAATGTCAGATAAAGTATATATGTATCAAAAAGTTGAAAGAAAGATCTAGACGGGCGAAAGCGGAGAGAGAGAGAGAGAGAGAGAGAGAGAGAGAGAGAGAGAGAGAGAGAGAGGCGGCAAGGAAGAGGAACGACGCAGAATATCCCTCAACGAGTTCGTATACATTTTAACAGGTGGCGGCACATCGTTTCTGTTGTTGAATAAATAATCGGCTACGACGTTAGAACCGTCGAGATACGCTGAACCTTAATCATTGGTGTTCACGGTCCACGATGTAATATTACACTGTATTACGATAACCGCGTTAGTGCACTTGATTGTATCTTATGTGATCGTCGCATTCAATTCTTCCATTCTCTCTTTTTCTTTTTCTTTTCTTATTTTAAGATGGCATACTCATGCGTGATAATAGTATTAAAATTTATTAAATCAAGCACTTAATCTAATTACAGCACTTAATGTAATTAAATTAACAGCAGTAGATTTTTTTAAATAGTTTTTAGTTACATATATTAATATTAATAAATTTGTGATTAAGTATTCAATAAGACAGAAATTTTTTGATACTGTTTAGTACAATTTAATATAATCGTTTAACATGTCATATTTTGGAAAAAGTATTATAAAAAAATTTAAAGGTCATGAAATAAACGATAATATTTCTCCGATGAAGCTATAAATATTTTTCTGGTCAAGCATGCAATATATTTGGTTGCCTTGGTGATAAGCAATTTCACAGTATCTCTATGATATTATGTAACTTCAGTGATACGTGAGACATCTAAAAAAAATTATATCTTTCGTCAAAGTACAATCTAAAACTATGACACATAAATATCAAGCATATTATCGCCATGAAAAATCTATCAATAGCTTTCCAGCCAAGACGATAACCTTAAAATGCTTTCTTAACCGATGATTCTCCATTTCTTTATCTATAGTTTAGGGATGGAAACGCTTTAAAAGTTATAAAGCAATAACTTTTGTTTGCCCTTTCTTTCTTCGTCCGTTGCAAGAAATAGCTTTAGAAAAAGGTTACTTTGGAAGATCAGAAGTATGTTTTCAGGTATCAGTTACTAGATGAGAAGAAATGAGTGATAACAAAAAGGACAAAAGTTTTGACTAATCGCAAAAAAAGGTTTTTTGCCGATTGGCAAGAAATTTTTCTTTAAAATATTGAATATTTGTGACCAAGTCTAAACGAATGACCGTTGTCAACGAGATATATTGCTTGAAATAAGAAGAAGAGCATGAGGAATGAACTCTTAACATGAGCAGGTGAAATAGCAGGGTTTTCAATGACACATGTAAGACCAATATTTCATCTTGTAAAAATATCGACAAAGATTCTTCATAAAGATAGTAAAGCAATCAGGTAAGGCGTATATTAGTAATCCGAATGATACTTTCATATTATGTACCAACTTTCGACAAAAGCCGACGCTCGTGTCTTTCACATCTGAAAAAGATTGGAAAATACAAGAAAAAGAAAGAGAGCTTAAAGAATTTTAGTGATTATTATGAGACAGACGTCTGTTTTTTTACAGATGTGAAATATAGCTGCATACTTCTTTGCATAAGAATGTATTGCATATATTTTTTTAACAAAACAAAAAATCATTGAAAAATTTCAGATTTTTCTACATTGCGTTCAGCAGAAAAACATCTTTGCAACAGTTGTAAAATTCTAACATAATGGGATTTTATCCTTAGTGCTTCTCTCTTTCATTGAACCTAAGTATATATATGTATAAACCAATTACATTAAATAATCTTATAACAATCGCGAAGCTGCTTTTTCTGTTGAACGCAGCCAATTGTATTCAAAAGTTAGCATTATATATACAAATTTAAAATCTGAATAAAAAATAATTTCAATAAAAAGTATATATGTTTGTGTGTTTTTAAAAAATAATTAAGATATAAAATGAAAAAATTTATTATAAAAAATTATATTCCGAAATACATTAAATATTGAACTGTTTCATATGTTATACGCAACATTCATTTTTACACAGAAAATATAAATTACAGTCCAATTACAGTCACTGTTTGTAAAGACATATACCTGATGCATCTTTAAAGTGAGATAGGTATATGTTTGATGCTTGGCGAAAGTGAGAAAGAAAGTTTTAGTGCAGTCTAATATAGCAATAAAAAACAAACTTGATAATTGTTTTCGATTACAGAATGGCTCTTCTGGATTCTTGAAATCATCGTCGAAAAACGGGCTGAGAGTTTTGTCTTTGCCAGATCTAACGAGCGCGAAAGAATGATTTTTGGCGACGCGACAGCGTTTTTGATAGATCAGACCTAATTTCTAAAATGGCTGTCCGATTATGTTTACATATTGCTGTACGGTTAAATATAGAGAGAGCCTATTCATCTAGGCGAGAAGCCGCGCGCGTTCTCGCCTTCTCGGAGGCGATCTCGAGAGACGCGTCATCGAGAGAGAACGGCGAGAGTTCTTTTTTTCTTTCTTCGTCCTTTTCTTTTTCAGACGATTTTCAAGCGAGAGGCCGACGAAGCCAGCCGTCGCAAAAAACTTCGCTTGTCGCAAGTTTTAATTTTATGCCGCGCGCTACGTCGACGGTGCTGCTATTCGTTCAAAACGTCTACAAGCGACACTTGATATTTCTCTCGATTACCCTATGGCTCTTCTATCAAAGTACAAAACGCGACGGCGCCGGCGGCGCGTGTCGAACGATTGCGTAATACAACATATTCGGATGTCAGTTATCATGAGATCTGTTTTTTCTTTTAAAGCTGAACTTATAATGTATTCTTTTTGCAGCAAAACAGGTTTTGTACATATGTTTGTGACATTTGACAAAAGCGAGAAGAAACTCAGACAAAAACGCATGTTCAAAAACGGGACACAAAATTTCTTAAAACACAAAGACGTTTTATATCCATTTCTACCAATGTAGATAACTTTAATCTCGATTCTCAGAATTAGAAGATAAAAAAATAAGTTAAACCGAGCTTAATCTATATTGATAAATATGAACATTAAAAACACGTTCACAAAAGCGCCTTAAAACATTTTTACAAAAAATGCTTATGCTCGTTTCTACCAATGGTTTAATTTAATATCTTGATTCAACTAATTCTTCATCTTTCTCTAGTTCTAAAGAATTAGAAAAAGACATCTTAAAAACGGTTTAAGACGTTTTACGTCCTGCTTTTAGACTTTGTGTTGTCTGGGAAAGTTACAATGCAACGTCTAGTTTCTAGTGCAGCAATAAAAAACGAACCTATTGAGAAACAGGTTCAAATGTGATCCGTGATACGGGAATGATGAAGCACCGTAAAACGATATTCGCGATCGTGTGAAATATAACGCAAAGAGCCGACAGCGATTTCGGTAAGTTCGCGAGGCGCGCTTCTGGCGCTCGCGATCGAACGGAAGAAAGGATATATATCGTTGACGCGTGTTCGCCGCAATTCGGCGAAATCTCGCCTGATCTCGCCTCGGGCTTGATCCGCGGACTTTGACGTCTACAACAGTCTAGAACGTTTGCAAGGTGACGGAAAGCAATGGACGTACCAAATATTAACTCGTGGGTGACCGTCTGCTCCGTGCTGCTCCGTGGCATGTTGAAAGCGGGTGGGGGTGGCGGTGGAAGTAGCGGCTGCATGGCGTTCTCCATACTCTCTCGCTCACTCTCTCTCTCTCTCTCTCTCTCTCTCTCTCTCTCTCTGTTCCTATCTTCTTCCTTCCTACGTCGCGCACTTGTCACCAGTCACCGTTACCGTTGTTCCTGCAGGACGTCGCGATCAGGAACGAACTCGAATCGCTGATTCGACGACGCGCATTTCGCGGTACACACGCCTATATCCGCGTCGGGATTGTCGAGAGAAACGTCTCTCTCGCGCTCCGTGTATATCGCTTACGCGCACACGTGTGGAAATTCCGCGCGTGTACCCGCGACGGACGACGGACGACGTACGTACGTACGTACGTGTGTGTGCGCGCGCGCTCGCTCAGTTGTGCGGAGTACGCGATAATACGACGTAGAGTGAGAGCTTTTGCGCGTGCAGAAGGTGCAGCTGTGGGCGCACCGGCACGACGCGCCTCGTCGACACGGGGAAAATCACGTTCAGCCGGTGCCGCTGTCCTTTTCACATCATCACCTTCCGTAAACCGCCCGATTCGCCGCGCCCGAATGGTGCGGACGGAACGGAACCCGCACAGCCGTGTCTGCCGTGTCGCCGGACCCGTGCACGTTTTCGCTACTACGCGCTTCACGCGTCTCGCGCAGCCGCCGAGCGCCTCCGCTTATTGGCTGCTCGCGCGCTGACCACTCAGCCGTCTCAGGCCCGTACCGTCGTACCTCCGCGCCATCCGCGCCATCCGCGATTGTCCGGATCGAAGTCCTCCTCCTAGATTACGTTCGAACAATACCCTACTTCCGAAGTACCTTCGATCATTTTATCGTTGTTGTTCACCAGATATTCAACAAACTTACGATGATTTTTTTTTTCTCGGAGATTTGTAAACACTCGAGTATTTTTCAACAAAGTTCTCTTGGAGAACATTCCGACAAGGACTGACGGTAAATTCAATGTGTGGCACGCGGAAAGCATCCGACTTGACTCGTACAACATATACACTAATTGTAACATATAAAAGCGTTCAATAAAATGCACATCTGTTATGGAATTGCTGTTATTGTTTTGACGTTTATACTTGACTTGTATAATGGTCAAGGCGCGTTTATACCGTAAATAAGCGAGAATGGATTGAAATTCATGGAAATGGATTCAGATTTTCAAAAGTATATCGCAGGAACGTTAAAGTGAAGTCCTTTTCCAATCCCAATGTATTTTTATTCATTTATAGGAATTGCATGAAGCACATTTCTGTACCCTTTAATCTAAAAAAGTAATATCAACTTTTTTTAAGTGCATCATAAATACTGCTCAATTCAAAAATTTGAATAGGAAATGCAGTTTTCCAATCCAAATTAAATCTAGTTGAATCCAATAGAATCCAATTGAATTTAATTGAATTCAAAAAAAGTTTTTTTATTTAAACGCATTCGAATATAGATAAAATTTCAATTCATTTTAATCCATTCTCGTTCTCTGAATATGCTTGGCGAATGTAACACGTCTATTCGAAATTGCCACTGGATCTACGAAGTTGATATATAAAAATTAAATACAAAAATGAGCAAATTTACTATATATTATAGGTTTTAACTAATTAGAATTATTATGAATATGTTCGAATGAATTTGCTTATTTTTATAATTTTCATTAAATTGTGATACATAATCGCTGAGCTAGAGTTAAACAAAGTGTAATGATCCCATTCCAAGCATCGCTGTGATACATATTTCATAGGTATAATGATACAACACAGACAACTGTTCCCAGCCAATCGCTTTGTGTATTTAATAGAATACTTAATGTCAAAATCGATGAAATAAAAGGTAACAGGAAAGACAGTACTCAGACACGAATTAAATTTAAACATAATATTATACTTTGTCAAGCAGAATTTGATTGAGTTTTTGAAAATTATTATATTTAATTGATTCTCACTCACACCGAATGCTTGACACGGTCCTGCTCTCTCGAGAATTTCGTACTCGGTTTCTTATCTCTCTCACTGCTTTTTTTATCTTATATGAGGTAGTTCTAAAGTGTCGAACGCAGCTTCTGATATTATTTATTCTGTTCTTCTGTAAAAGGTCTGTATGCAATTGGAATATATCCTCTGCGATTCTGGAGGAGGACATTGTATACTGCGTTCTCGTTAATTCTATGTATCGATTTTTCCTTATTGATATAATCAAGGTCAACACGGCGCACGTTGCATCACCTTGTGATCGTAAAACGAGAGAGAAAACGAGAAAATGCGCTGTCAGATTGGTACACAAGTCAAAGGATTGATTCGTTAATAATTATATAAAAATAACGAGAAGAAAATGCAAGAATCGATAACTTAGTAAGCAAGCTGACGTAGTTATTTGTTGTCATTTGACGTCAAAATGGGGTCTTTAACGTCATTTGACGTTAAAATGACAACAAATGACGTCAGTTTATTTGTTGGAAAGACGTATTTCTTTTTTCAATAGGCTTATAAAATTAGTCTGCCTAAGGAAATTTTCTCGCAGAAGTTTTATACAGAGTAATACAAAAAAATCTCTTATTTTATATTAAATAAATAAAAATCTATTTTTACTAAATAAATAAAAAATTTATATCTATGAAAAACTTTTTAATTTATTATAATTTTTTTCTCTTTTATAACCCTTATATTATCGATCTGTTGCTGGACAAAGTTATGTAATATTATGTAAATAGAGCAAGAGAGTATAAAGCTATTAGAAATTTCTGAGAAAACTAATTCTCTCTTTCAATTACATTCTCAGTCGCCGTATTTGGCAAATGAGGGAGAAACGCGTTTAAAATGCAAACGAAACGCTCTTATACGATTTTCAGTTCTCAACGAACCGAGACAATTAATAACTATCGTCACAATTAATAAACTCAGCTTACGGTGCAGCTAATATATCTATAATCAGAAAACTAAAAGTTTATGATAGAAATTTGACACGAGTGATACAAATATCAAATTCGAGTATCCATACTTGTGCTATATTATTCGATCGTTCTCTTCCATCAGTTGACTACCAAGTCCTAAAATAGGTAGTAAAAAAAGTGAGAAAACGAGTATCATTAAGAGACGAGATCTGGAACAGGATAGAATCTTGTCACTCGGACTTGCTTTCTCGTTTCGCCAATTGGCACGTATAAATTCTTCCATATTTGGACCACATTCCAAAACCCTTTCGAGGAAAATTTTATTCGAAATGTACATACAGGACACGTAACATATATTACATCTTAGCGAGTAAAATTTTCCTTGGAGAGGACGTTTTGGAGTATAGAATCATTATATTATTACTTTTGATTCTTAAAAAACAGTCGCTCGAGTCTGACCTGTACCTCATAAGACACATTTATTCTAAAGAAAAATTCATCATTTCCTCTGTAAAAGCATAAAAAGTTGCTTGTCCCTTTAAGGCGTATAAATATTTCCGTTAGGAGGACAGACAAAATATTGAAAGTAAACGAGGAGGCGTGCAAATCCTCTCTCTGTTGGCCAGCAGTTTCATAATAAAGCCAAAAATATTTTGTAATAATGTTTAATGTCGACCGTAATTTAAAGTAACACATTAATATCGCTCGTTTTTTAACCTCTCGCCTGATAATAAATAATGATTACGTTCAGCAGAAAAAAAGGACTTTGCAACTGTTGTAAGATTTTTTAATACAATTAATTACTTATAAAATAACAGGACCTTATTTATGTGGGTTTGTGATTAAAAAAATTTTTTTCATGAGTTTAAAATTGACAACTGTTGATCAAATTCAAAAAGGACACATTTCTGAACATAAAAAAAAGTATGGGACTTTTTCAAATATTTATATGACTGTAGTAAAGATTTTAAAAAGTATATAGTACACATGTGTGTACCCAATATAGTCTAAATATATATGTTTTCCTCTTTTTTATAGAAAAAATGTTAGAAAAATGGAAAATAAAGTGATGCAGTGTTACTTTTATAAGATTATAAGTTTATTAACATATTGACGTGTTTATTGACATGTAAGAATACACAAAGAACTATTTTCCAAATAATCGCTTATTTACTTACTTATCTCTACGATGTTTAGCAGATGAATTAAAATCTATATACAGTTTGGAATAACAGAAATACCAAGAAAAACATTACAATCGATGTGTGTACATTCAATATATCTGGGTTGGCCATATTGTTTCTACCTTACAAAGGATATTTCTCCTGTTTTATTAAAAACAAAACGTCCTGTGTGTGATGAAGATATAAATTAAATACATTGTTGTAAAGGTATAAATACAGAGCTACAATAATATAAACTACAGAAATTAATAACTTCTCTTAGTAGTTATAAAAAACAATTACTTATATCTACGAAAAATTACATCATGACTGCATTTTGCTTTACTGACAGTATAACAGAATGAACCACTGAGCAATATACTAATGCAATCGAGTCAGACGGATAGCCTGCATGTCTTACTAATGCTATCTTGGTGAATTCATCGTGTAATTAGTTACAGGTTTCTCTCTGTACCTACAAACAATGAATATTGAATACTAGGTCATATAGGGTTTGATTACTTTACATTTAGATCCATGCAATGGAACTAGAGACATAAACCAATCATATTAAAGAATCTTACAACAGTTACAAAGCTACTTTTTCTGCTAAATATGGTCAACGAAAATCATAGTTTACGAGCTGTGTAATCATCAGGTCATACACAGGTAGAATACAAAATCATAATAAGATCAAAATGACATTAAATATCATTCATGATATAATTAATAATGATTTATATGTACTTTTTTAACTAAAAAATTACTTAATATCATTGTCATTATGTCAAGAATTCATCACAAAATTATCGTCAAAAATGTATTATTTGAGAAAAATCTTTAATTACTGAAGAACGGAGAGAGAGGGAAAAAGAAAGATCCCCACTCTTTTCCTTTTCCCGCAGCGTAGCTCGCGCCTGAATTGAAATTGTACATATTCGATGTTCTTAAGTGATGGTGGTGA